ATAATTAAGAACATCACTTGAGCAACTCATAAAGGTAACGTCGTAGTAGGTACCGAACATAACAATATTGTTTACTGATAACACCGAGTTAGTACGCCTTACGTACAGAGCCTCGAGGCCGCATTCCTGAACAGATGTCAAAGTACTTAGCGTTGGGTTTTGTATACCTACAAGCCATCATGATGAATCACTCAAGATGATTGCTTAGCGCGTAAACTGCTTAAATTCGGTCTATTTAATGTTTGTAGACGCAATAATAATAAAAAAAAAACAAATTTATCAAGCTTACTGTTATAAATTACATCACTATTCCCAACCAAAACAATCACAGCAATAAGAAGTGTTGCATGCATTATAACCTATATAAACGTAGCGATTTAATATAAACAGTCAATTATAGAACAAGTAAAAATACTTATCTTGAATAAAAACAAAAACTAAACAGGTTTAAGAGGCAATGGGCGTGACTTGGTAATTTGCATACAGTGCCAATGTGTTTTATTTAAATCATACGACCGCAATGACGTTTTGCTGTTTCTTTACTCAAAACTTCCCGGAATTTACTCTTAATTTGTTCACAAAGGAAATTTTATTTATTCCATGAATACGTATACACACATATTTTAAATATTCCCACTAAGTTTATATATGCATATAGTAAATGTTTACTAATAGTATAACTACATAGACACCGATGCTGAAGGTATTATTTATAAAAAAAAAACGTATAAACCGTTACAATGTTTTGTCTCTTTGCAATTGGGAATTTAGTACAAAAGAAAGGGACAAAACAATTCAATAACTAAAATAGGTTTACGGGAAGTTTGAATTCTTATGATTAAGGGAGTAAGTAGATATACATTTAAGAATATTTAAGAAATAATAACTTTTTAATTGATTAATTACGCCACCAATTCTAAACTGATAATTCTTTTGATAATCGATAGGGTTTATTTCCATGTTGGTCCTCTATATTAATTTTGTGATTATCAAATATGTTATATATTTATTCTTTACAAAGCAAAATCCTACTTGATGTGAAACAATTTACTTACAAGTTCTAATTTCAAATATTTAATTCTAAAACTTCTTAGAAACATCTCGATATTCATCGGTTGGTTTTATTTGTTCTAAAATAAGAATAGTTAGAATACTAGTCAATATAATTTTTTAATGTCCTTTTTTTTATTAAATAACAGACCTGTAAATAATATTATGCATTTATCCTCTGTTAAATCGCATTGTGAAACGCATTCCTACCGCTGTTTCCTGTTTAGACGAGATTTATAACACATACCACAATACCACGGCAGACAACGGCGATAGCACCTATCCAGTTCAGTCCCAGAGGAAAACTGTTAGTGACTCTATATTAGTTTTACAACACCATTGACCTAATTTGTCCACATCCAATATTTTATATATCAGCATGAGCTTATTGCCTATTAAAATGTGTCAATTTAGGTCATCACTAGATTTATATATTTATGACTATTTAATGCATTATTATTGTTCCTTCCAGTCGGTTTGATCATAATTGAATTTGTCTTTAATTTAGTTAAAAACCGACAACATAATAAATTATAAATAATGAATACTAATATAAATAAGGAATACTGACGTTTTTCTCCTTTTATTTCTATCAGCATACGCTACGAAATAAACAATATTATCTTAGTACCTTTATATAAGCTATAATATAATAAGCTAAATGTATAAAAAAAAAAGAAATAATATTGCTTAAGGTTTATTTCAATAGTAATAACAATTCTTGTAGTTTATTTCTATTGTTAGACAAACAGAGATCAGAGACCAGAAGAAAAAATCGGAATTTAAATATCAAAATGGTATAAAGTACAGGTGAAAATGAAACACGATTGTGTTGTTGATCCACGTGCAAATACTCAAATTGCTATCAAGGAAATTAAGTTATAAAAAGTTTTTGTATATAATTTTAGTTTTTGTTCTGTAAAAAAAACGGCGACTAAATATTTAAACTGTAAAAATAATCACCAAAATCAGTTTAAAATTAACAAAAATATTGTGATATGCTCGTACATAACACAAAAAAAACATATTTAATATATTTATTTTTAAAGACCATAAAATAAACTATTCATTGACTTTCATGATATTTCACTTCAATTTTAACTAACTAAAAAAGTATTATACATTATTTAAACCGAAGTCAGGTAATTACCAAGTTTACAATATTATTCAGATATTGTTCTTGATGGATCATACAAACGTCAGTCATCTCGAGCTTTGATCAAAATTTAACAATTACAAAATTTTACTGCAAACTTTAATGATATAATTGTATTGTTAAGTTGTCTCGGTTACTCTTACCAACACAAACGAACGTAAAAAAATAACTGCCCGCTACAATAGATTCCATTTGAATGTTAATTAAAAACAAACTTATTTATGTGACAGCAAGCTCTTTAATAAATGATTAGAAATCTAGATGTTATCAACTATAATTTTAAATGTCAAACAAAACACAAAATTCACTAAAAATATCTGATTAAGATACGATACTGATTATTGGATTAGAAGTCTAATTTGGGTGTCGAACGGTTAATACTAGACTCCGAGCAGCGATCTAATAATTTGCCCGAAGATGCCTCGTTTAGAGGCGAAACACGTGTCGCAAAACGTGCATGAACAAAATGGCAGTCGATGATTGTTTGGCTAGTAGTGGAACTTCTGATAGTAATTAATGGTGGGGGTCAATCTTCGAGTGTTGGCAGTCACACACATTAATATTAGCGAAATTAAACAAAATAATTGTAATTAAATAACTAGTCATGTGTACCTCCGCAAGATAACACCTAGTTCAGTAAACTATTTACAATACAGTAATAGCTATCGTATCAAAGATTTTAAAACACATGCACATAGTATTGATTTGCAATATAACAAATAGAATAAAAAATGTCAGTGCAAATAGCAGTTGTAATGGTATACGCATAGTAATTATTACGTATTACGCATAGTAATGGTAACGGAATTAAACAAAATAATTTGAATTAACTAAGAGGTGGAGATTGGTAATAATGGACTCAATGGCCCCCATTGTTATTCGTTATCGAGTCGACCTCCACACGGTTTCCCCTGAAAACCATCGCGTTTAATTCTTGTTGAACTCATCACGATGGACTAATTGACATGTTTTCATCCTCATTTATCATCACCCACTGGTGGGGCACCAGCGCATCCTAAGAGCACAGGCGGAGTTACCATATCATTATCATTCGTTACAGAAAATCAACTAATCAATATATCAAAGAGAATACCTACATGAATGCTTAAAAATAAATCACATATTGTTTGTAATGTTAAACAATGTGTCATATAATAATAATACGTGATCAAATCACTGAACTATGACGATGGTAGACAACTTGAACTTAAAGGATTGGATTTCACGTCAATAGTCATAACAACAGCGTTTGTATATAATATATTAACATTAATACTATTGAAATTAGAAATCAGCTAGACGCTTACATGGAATTCAAAAGTGAAACTCGATTGAAAGAGTGAATGAAGAGAGAAGGGAATAGCTTATTCATTCGCAACAATAAGAACGCCGATTACAAGACTTATGGAAGGAGTAGGTAGGTATACGTTTTCTATAGAAGGACCGTTCTTACTGAACTGACCGAACTTTCCAGTTGAACTTTCGCTTTCGCCCGTGTAGAAACACGGACTTACACAATATTTTTACAAAAGATAAAACCTGAAATATACTACTGGAGCGGATCGCTAGTTTTTACTATAGATGATGCTACTTATACGGGGGCATTAAATAATGTATTTTTGTAATAATTGTGGTGACATACCCATTGAAAATTATTTTTGGTTTTTTTATTATTTAACATTAAATTCATTTATTACACGTACGTAGATAACAAAAATAGTTCTATTCCCATGAAACAAATTCACCACCAAAATTACTTTTTGTCGGTATACTTATATGTACTTGAATTTCAGCGATCCTAACACTATTGTGATTATGAGCAGTACAGTACTATGTACTACGTATTTTGTACTCTCACTTTAGAGATACCCAAAATAAAAATATAATGCTAACTGACATTGTACAAGTTAACACATCAGTCGAATTGAGCTTTATGATCAATCATTCGAATTAAAAAATTATTATCGGCAACTTTACACAGAGTTAATTGACCATCGATAAAATAAATCAAAGGCAATAAATAAATCAAAAGCATCCTTTGATTTATTTATTGGCTTTTGAAGTATTTGATTATATTATAGCAATGAAAATGTTTGTTCAAATATGGTATTTGAAGGGACGCCTGGGAAAAGAGATAGCTCAAGTATTCTGAATAACTTAAACTCCACAAATAGCAGGTATAATAGTTATCTACGGAAGCCCAGCAGTGTTAATTTTTAATAAAATAAATCATTTTTCATTCGTCAATAAATCATGCTTAAATATGATTTATATACTGAAATTCTGCAAATAGTAATAAAGAGTCCTTTAGAATAATAACACTAATCGGACTGTAGTAACAAGTTTGGCACATCTATTGTATCCTACTCTTGGTATGACAATGTAATTACAGGGGTACAGAGCGGAGATATAACAACTTAGTTCATAAAAATGGCAACGCATGAGCGGTACTATAGGCGTCACAGTCACAGTGCAATGTGTCATATACTTGGCTTTGTTCATGTCTGTAAGCAATGTTATCACATTCCGTCCAAAGGATCGTCATTCCAAGTTGCTGAGCAAATTTACTCATGCGTTACAATTTCTGAGGACTAAGTTGATAAAATATGTTACAGAATAATTTTCAAAAAATCACAATAAATTTTAATGAAATTTTGTAAATGAATTTAATTTATTTGCTCAAACTCGGGAGATAGGATAATTTTTTATCCCGTTAAGACTGCCGTCTATGTCTTACACTCGCGCGAAGCCAGGGCGAATCGATAGTTTTCTATAAACATATAACTACATTTACCTTCCAAAATCGTTGGGCAGACTTGTAAGCGACATGTCATTGAGGCCGAGTACTGTGAGCGCTCGTAGCTGGCTGAAGCCGGCAGGCAGCCGCGGTATGGGGTTGCTGCTAAAGTCCGCGATCTGCAACGCGCGGAGCTTCTTGATGTCCTCCGGGATGTCTGGAATGTCTGCGAACAAAAACAAGAATGTTTTATACTCTACTAATTACCTAAAAAAAGTAAAAAGTAAAAAGTTGAACAAAATAATTAATGACTTGGGATTATCCATTTAATTGACGTAACAGCAATTTCATTCAAAGAAAACAATTTTTTTTCTTTAAACAAAACTGAAAAAAAAACACATCTATTGTGTTTATAACGCCAATGGAAGATACGTGCATTATTATTTACAAACTTATATATATTTTTTGTAACAACTCCGGTTTGTCACGTAAAATGGAAAATGTTACTTTTCGGTTGAATCAACTTTAAGCACCATAAACACATTTAGTTCACTTTATTGACGTTTACATTTTTTACAGGTAGGTACGACGCGTATATTTTGATACAAACGGTAAATACATACAAAACAGGAAAACGTACGACCGACAGGTTTGAAAAACGCAATAATTGTACTCTTACGTGCAAATAGCAATATTTTCTTTTTACTATTAAAACAAGAAATATAATTGCCGCTAGGCTCTACATATCGGTACCTTTAATTTACAACTACAATTTGTTGTTCATATGTATATATATATATATATATATATATATATATATATATATATATATATATATATATATATATATATATATATATATATATATATATATATACGTCGTCAGTAACTACAGATGGCATTGTGTTGGTACAAAGGAATATGCTTTTAAAAGTAATATACTAACTAAACCTTTACAAATAGGTGATGTATAATACTTACACAATTTTCTATAGTTGAAGTATCGAAAATATTTATTTTTTTCATGCTTGTTGTATAGAAAATATAATTTCTTATTTGGAAGCTTCGTTACTATAGCAAGACATACTAATAAATAAATAGAAAAACCAAACAAAAACTTTGATGTTATTCTGAATCCCAAAGGTATATATCCTAAAAGTAAATACAGAAATTGGATCTCTGAAGTTCCTGATAGATAAAAATTAATAAATCCACAACCTTGGTGTCTATGGATCTCATTTATTAGACCTTGAATTTAATGACTGTACTGACGATAATAGAACTGCACGTGATATATTTGCATCCAAACATTAATGACGGTAAAGGATTTAACATGAATCCTATTATCAGGCTAACCTAGATTTCTATATAGAAATGATAATGAGATTTTCCTATATGGCATACTATTAAATCTTAATGTCTACCTCTGAAGGTTTAGTAACTTAGATCTTTATTTAGTACTTAAAATTTTCAAAGAGTAAGTAGATAATCGTTACAATTGAAATTAAAAGTTTTTGAAAATCGAATTAATAATTTATTGTTATAATAACCTTCTTTTGTTTTGTTATGTGAAATAATGAAAATCCATATTTGGTTTCACGAAATGTTGTTGGTAATGACACACAAGCCAGGTAAGGTAAAGTAAATTTCAGACAAGCTGCAATTAAGTAGTCGAATATTACCAAACCCAATATGCAAAAGCTGACAAAGGTCAATCCGTGAATAATTGGCACATGAACATGTAAACATTGCAGTCCTTAAAATAATTTACAATTGTTCTATATTTCTAGACGTTAAACAAAACATTGTAAGCCATGTACGAGAGCAAGGCCGAACTAACCAGATTTAATTTACAGTAATGAACACAACATGAACTAGCTGTTTTCAGTATGTTGTACTGTAGTTATGTGGTAAAACTGCAGTCTGCTATTAATAATACTACCTAGTAATATACTAATATTACCTCAAGACTTGTGAATAAGTAAAGAAACCTTGCCCGTCAATTCAAGATGAAAATTACTGTCTAGTGTTGAGATGAGGCATTTAATTAAAATAATAAACAGTTAACTAACCCAGGGGATATTCCGTTTAACCCTATATAATTAAACCATTACGCTTGTAAAATAGCACAGGCAGTGTACCTAGGAACCTATTGTGCGCATTGAAAACAAAGCGAAAAGATTACATTTATTGGCTTCAATTGAAACCGTTATGTGAAAGATAAAAATAATAAATGTATTAGACAATACGTGCGTCACTCAGTTATGTGTTTGATGTCCTGCATAAAGTATACAGTTATCGCATAAAGCATATTATAGACCGTTTCACTTAATGAAAAGGTAAGCAAACAACTTTTGTTGAAACAATCACAGAAACAAAAACTGAATTAGTAACAAAAACGAGATTAGTAACAAATCGATACATTCAATCAACTGATAAATTTTCGACTTGAACCTATTGCACAAAAGCAGATCATTTTGAGATTGGAACAGTTATTGTTTGTTACATTTTCATAAAGTTTTATTGAAACAGATTATAAATATTCATCAATGAAAAAAAAAACACCTTTATGTTTCTCTAGCCAGCTTGATTTTGATTGCAGTGATTTAAATTTCGGGTCGGCAAAGCGCACTCTTAGTGTTACCGGCGTCCATAGGCTACAGTGACCGTTTACTATATCAGACAAGATATATGCTTGTTTGCTACCTTCGCTGTATAAAAAATTTTTAAGAGATCAGCATGCATGGTAAATTAAAATAACCTTGAAGGAAAATATTATAAAGTACATCCTTTCAAATAATGTGAAACATCACCTCATTTCAAACCCAAACTACCAGACATACATATTTCCATATAATTCGAAAATATATCTCTAATATCTAAGACAGAGTGAGATAGTACTTTATTTACCTTAAAGTTTCCTGTTGTTCATTTAATATCGAATATTATTTAAAATTTTATAAACAGCTATACATACAATTAATATTAAAGCCGACTACAGTTCAAGTTGTCAACGACAGGAAATAGCCGGCTTTAAAAAACACTCTAATTAATAACGCGATCATAAAGACATTGTCTCTGAATAATAGTGAATTTATACGGCTATCGTAACTAGTCGGAACCAAACTGGTTTTCTAATTTCATGACGTTAACGGTAGTGCGCCCTGGTTTCCGGTGTGCGAGCGGGCATTCCACTGGATAGGTCGTCATCAATTATTTGTCAAGCTGTAGGTCCGAGGGCTTGGACGTGGGCCAAATAAATACAACAATAGTTAAGTAGAATTAACCCCGATCTGGTAAAAACAGTGCAACTGGGACATTTATAGCTTAAACTTCAACGCGCGTAAACATTTTGGTTAGATGTAACAAATTGTTTTATTTTAATTTACAAATTTTTACAACATTAAAAATGCATGTATATCAATGGCAGGAGATAGCAACAGGTTTGTTTGTTTTTGTTTGATTATTTTTTTCAAAGGGAGCATAGATAAAATGTTTGCGTTCTGTGCTGTGAGAGGTGCTATTTTAGGAAAGATATGCAGCTACGGGGAATATGTCTCTGAGTGCATCGCTTTGTTTATGGGAGGGGTACACGAACTCCTATTCAATGTGTTAAACCTGCGGCAAAGCTGTTTCCGCTACGCTTTTGAAGAGGTTTCGATGTTTATTTATATGACATAATAGGCCCTGAACACACGATGATACGCAGCTACAACGAATTTCAAAATAACACTACTTTGAAATGGGTTTGGAATGTTATTCATGGATAACACAACATCAATGCAACTTTAATTTACAACTACAATTTGTTGTTCATATGTATGTATATATACGTCGTCAGTAACTACAGATGGCATTGTGTTGGCATTTAATACATCTCATTATTGACGATACACTCGTACTTACACTGATTTCTTTTTATTTAGTTAGAAATCTTTGTCTACCTAAGCTTCCAGTCTTCGCCAATAAACACGGACAACGGAACTCCTAAGCCCTAAGAACAAAGTATCGTATTAACATAAAAAGGGGATAAAATAAAAGTAAATTATCATTGATATCTTTATCAATGTAAGTATAAAAAGATTCCTGACCATCTAACGTAACAATAACTTTAATATTTCGATTTCGATTATCCAAACAAAACCACTTGCCAATATCCATCAATTATATCATATTGGGAGTATGACATGCAGGATACGTAATATCCGTTATAAAACCCATTCAACCATGACGCAGTGAACGTTTAAGCCCGAGAGGGTCCAGGAAATTCTTCTCAATCTTGCAAGTTGAACCTTTCTACATTTTCATTACCAGGATGATGTTTTGGCATTAAAGGTCACAAAAGGCTATCATGTTGGTATTTGTTACATTAATCACTATGACACAAGCACAGGTCAAATAAACAATTTATATTTTTGTACAATGATAAGCGATATCAATAGAAAACAAATGCAAAAAATATTTTATCCAATATAGACGATTTATATATAATAAAAATGTAATTTGAATACATATTTCAATTTTAAACTGTTGTGTTTAATCATAGAAATATTAAGTTTAGGTATAAGAAATGGCTGAAACTTATATTCCCACTTGTGAAACAATTTTCAGTTCTAGGAAAATCACAATATCTGCCAATCTTACTCACATTTTAGTAATTTACTGAATAGAAAAGCAGAGTTTTAGTTCTTATAGTAAATATAAGAGTGTACCATTAATTACATTCATTAAGGGTCCACTAATGACAATTTATTATGGGGCACACAAAATACTCGTAATAAGCATCGTTTAATGTGTCCTTTAAAAAATTTCGCTAGCACTTCCATAAATAAAGTAGATAATAAAACTATCAAACAATTTCTACTATTGCAGTATTGAGAATTAAAAAACAGCAATTTCCATTATCGGTACACTAGAATTGCTGGAGTGATATTTCGTTGCGTAATGTAGATTTTTAATGGGAGAAAAATGTTTCAAGTCATAGTGTAACTTATTGTTTATAGGTCGCAGCTTCTACAAACAATGCATGTTCGATAAGAGGAGCTATTAAGGCGTACTGTAATAAAAGTTATAACCGGCGGCAGCCATCAGTCTCGCGTGGTTTGTTGCCGAGTGGGCTCCCATTATAGAGTTATTGAATTGCTCATAGTACAAAGCGTCTAGTGGACTAAAGCTGAGAGTGGACAACACCGATAACTAAGCAATCAATAATAAAACTGGCTTATA